CACCAACCACTGAAGCCAGTGAAATAGAAGCATTCTACCAATTTATTCAATCTAAAATTGACCAAACATGAAATCAAGACATATTGATAATCACTGACAATCGGAATACAAAGGTTGGAAACAAAGAGGAAGGATCAGTAGTTGGAAAATATAGCTTTGGTGATAGAAATGATACTGGAGATTGCATTTTAGAATTCTGCAAAACAAATGTTTTGTTCATTTCAAATATCTTTTTTAAACAGTATAAAAGACAACTATACACATGGACCTCACCAGATGGAATAAACAGAAATCAGATTGATTACATCTGTGGAAAGATACGGTGGAAAAGCTCCATATCATCAGCCAAAACAAGGCCAGGGGCAGATCGTGGAATAGACCATCGATTGCTCATATGTAAGTTCAGGCTGAAACTGAAAAAAATGAAAACAAGTCTGGTGGCGGTGTGCTGTGGAGTCAGTTCCAACTCATAGCAACTCTATAAAGGGTTTCAGAGGCTGTAAATCATTATGGGAGAAGAAAACATCATCTTTCTCCCATGGAATGACTGGTAGTTTTGAACTGCTGACCTTCAGGTTAGCAGCTAGAGTCGTAACCACTATGCTACCAGAGCTCCTAGAAAACAAGTTATGACCTTGATTATATCCTGCCTGACTTTAGAGATCATCTCAAGGACAAATTTGATACATTAGACACTAAAGACCAAACACCAGAAGAGTTGTGGGATGAAATCAAGAACATCATACAGGAAGAGAATAGAAAGTCATTAAGAAGACAAGAAAGAAGGGAAAGATCAAAATGGATGCCAGAAGAGACTCTGAAACTTGTTTTCCAGTGTAGAGATACTAAAGGAATAGGAAGAAAATAGGAGGTGCAAGAGCTGAACAGAAAATTTCAAAGATCAACTTGAAAAGACAGAGTCAAATATTATAACGTAATGTGCAAAGGTCTGGAAATATGAAACCAAAAGGGAAGAAAATGCTCAGCATTTTTCAAGTTCAGGGAACTGAAGAAAAAAATTCAAGCCTTGACTTTTGCTTTTGAAGGATTCTCTGGGCAAATTATAGACTGATGCTGAAAGCAACAAAAGAAAATAGAAGGAATACACAGAATCACTGTACCAAAAGGAAATGGTCAATGATCAACCATTTTAAGAGGTAGTATATGATTAGGGAGTCCTGGTGTGGCGCTATGAGTTAATGCACCAGACTGCAAAGTCAGTTTGAACTGCAAGGTCGGTGGTTCAAACTCACCAGCTGCTCCTTGGAAACCCTACACAGGGTATCTATGGGTTGGAAACGACTCAGCAGCACTTAACAACAACATATGATCAAGAGCCAATGATACTAAAGAAAGAAGTCCAAGGTGCATTGAAGGAATTGGCAAAGGACAAGGCACCAGGATTTGATGGAATAAAAATTCAACTCTTTCAAAAAAGTGTGGTGGCACTGGAGGCATGCACTCATCCATGCCAAGAAATTTGAAAGATAACTATTTGGCCAACTGATTGTATTTGTGCCCATTCCAAAGAGAGGGACCCGATGGAATGCAGAAATCATCAGACAATATCTTTGATATCCTATGCAAGTGAAGTTTTACTGAAGGAAATTCAGAAATGGCTGTAAGCATACACTGACAGAGAACTTCCAGAGGTTCAAGCCAGGTTCAGAAGAGGTTATGGAACAAGTGGAATCATTGCTGATGTCAGATGGGTCTTGGCTGAAAGCAGATAATACCAGAAAGACAGTTACCTGTGCTTTATTGACTATGCAAAGGCTTTTGATTGTGTGGATCATGACAAGCTGTGGACAACATTGTGAAGTATGAGTATTCTGGAACATTTAATTGCGCTCATGGGGAACCTGCACATGGACCAAGAGGCCATTGTTCGAACAGAACACGGCAACACTGAATGGTTTAAAATTAGGAAAGGTGTGTGACAGGATTGTATTCTTTCACATATTTATATATTCATATATTCTTTCATATATTTATTCAACCTATATGTTGAGCAAATAATCTGAGAAGCTAGGTTGTATGAATAAAAATATGGCATCAGAATTGGAGGAAGACTCATTAAAAACCTGCAATATGCTGATGATACAACCTTACTTGCTGAAAGTGAAGAGGACTTAAAATGCTTACTGATGAAGATCAAAGACCACAGCCTTCCTTATGGATTGCATCTCATTGTAAAGAAAACAAAAATCCTCACCACTGGACCAATCAACAACATTCTTATCAATGGAGAAAAGATTGAAGTTGTCAAGGACTTCATTCTTGGATCAACCATCAACACTCATGGAAGCAGCAGCCAAGAAATCAAACGATGTACTGCATTAGGCAAATCTGCTACAAAAGACCTTTTTAAAGTGTTGAAGAGCAAAGATGTCAGCTTGAGGACTAAGGTGCACCTGACCCAAGCCATGCTAATTTTAATAACCTCATATATTTGTGAAAGTAGGACAGTGAAGCACTGGACTGTTAACCACAACGTTGGCAGTTCAAACCCAACAGCTACTACTTGAAAACCCTATACATGGTCTCTGTGAAACTGTAGTGACTCAATAGGACTTTCAGGTTCATTCACGTTACAAGGTGTTTAAAGATTCATTATTCTCAGTGTTGCATAGTATTCCATTGTGTGTATGCAATCAAAGTTTGTTTATATACTCTTCTTGGCTTGTAATTTTGCGATCTTTCCTAGTTTATCCCAGATTCATGTAGCATGGGCATTTTAATTTGTATATTGAAGACATTGGCATGCTTATTGATCATTTGAATGCTTTTTCTCTTTCCAATTACTGAGAGATGTAAGCATACACACACACACAAACATGTATATAGAAACACATCTAGTTCAAATCTGAACAGTGCTCCTAAGTGCTAAGCGAAGAGTTTGTGAGATAGAAAACAATAGCATCTTTATGGATTTTCATATTTGCTCAGCAAAGGAAAAGGGTCACACCTCCTTAATATGGCTTTTCATCACTTTGATAGTTACAAAGTACTTTGTTATTAGTTCTGTCTTTCAAAACAAAACATTATAAAACTGGGTGCTAAGTTGAGGTTCAGTTGTTTAATTATTGTGTGCCAAGTAGCTGGCTCAGTCCACCCAGCAGAGATTAAACTAATTTACTGGTTCCTTTATCCCTCCCTCATCATTCCCTTGACTAACAACAGTGCCTGGGCATTAAAGAGAGGCTTTTAGTTTCCTAATTGAACTCATTAACATTTTTATCCCAGCCATGATCACTAAAAACGTCACATGCAACTCTTTTGATGTCTGACCTCTTCAAGCTCCATCTAAAGTAAATTCACTGTGGTCAGCAAGCAGTACCTTGCCTAAGGATGAAGGGCAGAGGATAAATTTATCTCTTAAGAGAAGTTTCTTGAATTGAAATCTATTTTAGATGCAAAAATATTCAGTAAATTTGTGCTTTCCTATTAAGCTGAGTAGATAGCATTCAGTTTTTAAAATAGACTAACATTTAAACCTTTTGTTGTTTTGGGGAAAGAAACACACATATTTTTGTAGTGGGAATTTACCTTGGGCATATTTTGGGGTTTAATTGTTATTGTTAAGTCCCATTGAGTCATTACAGTTTCACAGAGACCCTATATAGGGTTTTCAAGTAGTAGCTGTTGGGTTTGAACTGCCAACCTTGTGGTTAACAGTCCAGTGCTTATCCTATAGTGCCACACCAGGACTCATTTGCCTTACAATAAAATATGTGAAAACTCCTCTATGTCTGACTCATTGACATGTCTGCTTCAATTTATTAGGTATTCATTAAGCATATTCTAGCGTTGTGGTGGTTTAAGCCTTGCGCTTGAAACATTGCTGGTTAGAACTTACCTACCAGTAGTTCTACAGGAGAAAGATGAGGCAGCTGGTTTTTATAAAGATTGATTGTAAGTGACATCGAGTTGGTTCCAACTCATAGCAGCCTTGTATAGAGTTTCTGAGGCTGTAAATCTTTTTTGAGAGCAGACTCATCTTTCTCCTACAGAGTAGATGGTAGGATTGAGCCATTATCCTAGTAGCTAGCAGTCCAGTTCTTTTCCTACAGAGCCACTGCACTCCCCACTATAAAAAGTACAACCTTAGGAATCTTATGGGGTGGTCCTACTTGACCCTAAATGGGAGTTACAAGTTAGAGTTAGCTCATCAACAGTAAATTTTGGTTAAGTCTCTGGTGGCTCAAACACTTTGTGTTGGACTACTAACCTAATGGCTGGTGATTTGAACCCACCCAGTGGCACTGCAGAAGCGAGACAGGGTTTTCAGATTCTGAATCAGAATAGACTTGATGACAACACATTTGGTTGGCTTTTTGGTTAAGTACTAGGTACTGAGAGAAATATCAGCATGAAAAATATATGACCCTTTTCTTGAAGAGACTTCTGCTTCTCTCTCACCAGCTCTTCCTAATCTGAAGTTGAAATATGACACTTTATTCTACAAGGAACTTCTGGTTGTCTCCTAAAAATTGGTATATTGAAAGCACTTTGAAGACTCAAAGATAATTACACTTCATTCTTTCAACTATGAAACCAAGAATAGAAATGAACAAGCTTAAGATCCAATGAGAATTATTATTAACAACATATCACTTATTGATTATAATGATAATACTACTTGTTTTGTTAGCCACTTGATTAATAGCAACAATAAGAATAGCACAGTGTGCTTTATCTTACAACAGAAAACCAATATTATGTGCATTCCTAGTAGATGATTGATATCATTTTTCATTTGACTTAGAATTCCCGATGACTGGTAGTCTATTCTTATTATATAACTCTTAAAATTGGGAGGGCATCTGTCTCAACCTCTCTTTCTTTCTAGAATTTAAGTGCTTCAAAGAGAAGTTATTTCTTCTTCCTTAACCCATCTTTCCCAGTTTCTTCCTGTAAGAGATGTTCTTACCTATCACTGCAGGTGTCTGGGCAGAGTAGCTAATCCGTATGGATCCAATGTTGAGAGTGGTCATGATGGTCTCTGTGTCCACCAGAGTCTGACTGCTTGATTGTTTATATGGTGGGGCCAAGACTGCACACATGGAACATTCTTCTATGTTGGCTGCTTGGAGGTCTCCAGAAAAGAGTGCAGATCCCTAATAAGAGAAAATGAACAACACTAAGCAGATGAATGGATTTTTACGTCATAACTCTTTGTAGGTAATGTGATTTCTTCTCAAAACCTCTCCAGGTTTCATGAACTTGATTGTAAACCTTAGTTTCCTAACATCTGACACACTTAGAACTATCAATTATTAGTATCTTAATTTGAATAACATTCACAGGCCTTTTCCTGAGATCAAATCTGTATGACTCAAAGGAAGGTGATGTGGGAGGAATATACACCATTAAGTAACTGAAGTGGAAGAAGAGAAACAGAAGAAGAGTGACAATGGTGAGAACAAAGTTCAAGGAAAGGAGAGGGTGTGGATCCAAGGGAACATTTTAAATTCTCACACTTTCACTAGAGGTTAACAGAACTTGTGTTAATGTGGATTACTTAGCAGAGTGGCAGTTGTTTCTTTCATTTGGAAGACAAATAGACTACAGGTAATTTCTAATACTAACTGGATCCAGAGATTTTGAGAAACTTTCTTGATTAAGACTGAACCAAGGGGGTGAGGGTAGGGAATATTATAATGGAATGAGTAACTAAATAAAATTGACAACTCCTGGTCATTTTTTAAAATAAAAATATATTTCTTGTATGTTTCCTGCACTATTTCATAAAAACTTCACTCACATGGGATATCAAAGAGATTGTCCAATGATTTTCTCATTCCACTGGATCACCTCTCTTTGGAATGGGCACAATCAGTCAGTCAGAGAGTTGTTTTCCAAATTTCTTGGCAGAGATGAATGAGTGCTTCCTGTGCTGCCTCACTTTCTTCAGAGATTTTTCAATTTTTATTTGATCAATTCCTAGTGACTTGTTCTTTGCCAATTTCTTCAATGCACCTTGGACTTCCTCCCTGAGTATCATTGGCTCTTGATCATATGGTACCTCATGAAATGGTTGAATGCTAACCATTTCCTTTTGCTACAGTGACTCTGTATATTCTTTCCACTTTCTCTTGATGTTTTCTGCATCATGCAATAATTTGCCCAGAGAATCTCTCAGTAACGAAAGTTGAGGTCTGAATTTTTTCTGTAGTTCCCCCAGCTTAAGACATGCTGAGCCTTTTCTTCCTTTTTGGATTTCTGGTTCCAGATCTTTGCACATTTTGTAATATATGGTTTTATCTTCTTGAGCTGATCTTTGAAATTTTCTGTTCAGCTCTTAGACCTCCTCATTTCTTCCATTTGCTTTAGTATCTATATGCTGGAAAGCTCATTTCAGTGTCTCATCTGACATCCATTTTGACCTTTGCCTTCTTTCTAGTCTTCTTAATGACTTTTTGCTTTCTTCATGTATGATGCTCTTGATGTCATCCCACAACTCTCTGGTCTTTGGTCTTTAGTGTTCAATGTGTTAAATCTGTTCTTCAGATGATCTCTAAATTCAGGTGGGATATAGTCAAGGTCATATTTTAGCTCTCCTGGATTTGTTTTCATTTTCTTCAGCTTCAGTTTGAGTTTGCATTTGAGTTCCACATCTTCCCCTGGCCTTGTTTTGACTGATGATATGGAGCTTTTCCATCTTCTCTTTCCACAGATGTAGTCAATTCGATTTCTATGTGTTCCATCTGGTGAGGTCCATGTGCATAGTTGCCTCTTATGCCGTCCAAAGAAGGTATGAGCATTCTGGAACACTTAATTGTGCTCGTGAGGAATCTGTACTTGGACCAAGAAGCAGTTGTTCAAAAAGAACATGGGAACGCTGAATGCTTTAAAATTTAAAAGTATGTGTGACAAGGTTGTATTTTTTTACCATACTTATTCAACCTGTATGCTGAGCAAATCATTTGAGAAGCTGGGTTTGAAGCAAAATGTGACATCATGATTGGAGGAAGACACATTAACAACCTGTGGTATACAGATAATACAACCTTGCTTGCTGAAAGTGAAGAGGACTTAAAAACATTTACTGATGAACATCAAAGAGCACAGCCTTCAATATGGATTACATCTCAATGTAAAGAAAACAAAAATCCTCATCACTGGGCCAACAAACAACATTCTTATCAATGGAGAAAAGATTGAAGTTGTCAAGGTCTTCATTCATTCTTCTTGGATCAACTATCAACACTCACGGAAGCAGCAGTCAAGAAATCAAACAACGTATTGCATTAGGCAAATCTGCTGCACAAGACCTTTTTAAAGTGCTGAAGAGCAAAGATGTCAGTTTGAGGACTAAGGTGTGCCTGACCCAAGCCATGGTATTTTCAATAACCTAATATGCATGTGAAAACTGGACAGTGAATAAGGAAGATCGTAGAAGAACTGATGCTTTTGGGTTATGGTGTTGAAGAGAATATTGAAAGTGCCCTGAGCTGCCAAAAGAACCAATAGATCCATTTTGGAAGAAGTATAGCCAGAGTGCTCCTTGGAGGCCAAGATTGCCAAACTTCGTCTCTCATGCTTTGGCCATATTGTCAGGAGGAACCAGTTGCTGGAGGAGGATATCGTGTTTGGTCAGGTGGAGGGTCTGATAAAAAGAGGAAGACCCTCAATGAGATGGATTGACTAAGTGGCAGTATCTATGGACTCAAGCTTGGCAACAATAGTGAAGTTGGCTCAGGATCGGGCAGTGTTTCGTTCTGCTGTTCATAAGGTCACTATGGGTTGGTACTGACTCGATGGCACCTAACAATAACAACATTTCATTAAAAAAGTGCATTCCACTGTGCATATGTTGGAATAGAAGCTTCTACAGGTTTAGCACAAATACAAATACAAATGCTATTGTTGTTGTTATTAAGTGCCATAGAGTAGGTTCTGACCCATAGGGTTTCCAAGAGCAGCTCATGAGCTTGAACTGCTGACCTTGTGATTCAAACCAACTTTGCAGTCCAGTGCATTAACCCACAAATACTAACACAACTACTATAATACCATATTGTTGTTGTTAGATGCTGTCAAGTTGGTGCCATCTGTTACCTCACATGGCAAAAGGGACTTTGCAGATGTGATGAAGTTAAGGATTTTTGGTGGTGGTTGTGTACCATCAGGTCAATTCCAACTCATAGTGAACCTGTACAGAATTTCTGAGACTGCAATTCTTTCTATTTGTTGTTGTTAGGTGTCATTGAGTTGGTAGCGACATTCTGAATAACAAACAGAACAAAACAGTGACCAGTCCTGGGCCAACCTCACAATCATTGCTACGCTTCAGCCCATTGTAGGTACCACTGTGCTAATTCATCTTATTGGGTATATTCCACTTTATCAAACATAATATCCTTCCCCAAGGACTGGTCCCACCTGACTACATCTCCGAACTACGAGAGACAAAGTCTGGTCATCCTGGCTTCCAAGGAGCACTCTGGCTATACTTATTCCAACACGAATCTGTTTGTTCTTTTGGCAGCCCATGTTTTTCTCAATATTGTCCTCCAACACCATAACTCAAATGCATCAATTTTTCTATTTTATTCCTTATTCACAGTCCAGCTTTTGCATGTATATTAGGTTATTGAAAATACCGTGGCTTTGGTTAAGCACATCTTAATTTTCAAACTTATATCTTTATTCTTCAACACTTTAAAGAGGTCTTGTGTAGCAGATTTGCCTAATAAAATATGTCGTTTGATCTTTTGACTGCTGCTTCCATGAGTGTTGATGGTTGATCCAAGCAAAATGAAGTCGTTGACAACTTCAATCTTTTCTCCATTTATATAAATGTTGTTTATTGGTCCAGTGGTGAGGATTTTTGTTTTCTTTACATTGAGGTGCAACCCATAGTAAAGGCTATGGTCTTTGATCTTCCTTAGTATTTTAAGTCATCTTCCATTTCAGCAAGGAAGGTTGTAACATCTGCATATAGCAAGTAGATAATGAGTCCTCCTCCAGTCCTGATGTAATCCAGCTTCTTGAATTATCTGCTCATAATATAGATTGAATAAGTATGGTGAAAGACTACAATCCTAATGCTTATCTTTCCTAATTTTAAGCTTTTCAGTGTTCCCCTTGTTCTGTTCAAACAACTGCATCTTGGTCTATGTACAGAGTCCTCATAAGCACAATTATGTTCTGGAATACACATTCTTTGCACAACAATCCATAGCTTGTTATGATCCACATAATCAAAAGCCTTTGTGTAGTCAATAAAGCACACAAAAACATATTTCTGATATTCTCTGCTTTAAGCCAAGATCCATCTGACGTCAGCAATGACATCCTTCATTCCATGTCCTCTTCTGAACTTGGTGAACCTCTGGAGTTTTCTGTCAATGAAGGGTTTGCAGCCATTTTTGTATTATCTTTAGCAGAATTTTATTTGCATAAGATATTAATGCTATTGTCCAATAATTTCTGCATTACATTGGGAATATAATACCCATAATATAATACCACATAAGCATAATGAATCCATTTCTGAAAGTTGAATTTGTCCTCTTTATACATATGTCAGGGAGCATGTGCTCCATCAGAAAAAATGAGAAAAAGCAAAAAGGGTGGCAAAAATTAGCCTAGGTTTATCCAAGAAGTCAGAAAATGCTGCAGAAAAACTCTATTTGTATAAAGGCATAACATGGAGTAGTTCTGATTAGTGAGCTATAGAGTCTTCAAATCAAGTTCTTTTAGTTCTTGTCTGTGCCATCCTAGCAAGTTACTTACTCTTTCCATTCCAAATTTTAACAATTTTAATGTAGTAACTCATAGGGTTATGGTAGCGTAGTGGTTACGAATAGGACTGCGAACCTTAAGGCCAGCGGTTCGAAACTACCAGCCGCTCCGCGGGAGAAAGATGAGGCTTTCTACTCCCATAAAGATTTACACCCTCGGAAACCCTGTACAGGGTCGCTATGGGTCGTCGGAAACCCTGTACAGGGTCGCTATGGGTCGGAACCGACTCAACAGCACTTAACAACAACAACAACAACACAATGAGTTAAATATGTAAAACGTTTAGAATAGTTTCTGGCATACAGTAAACACTATAAAACTGCAAGCTATTATTATAATTACTACTACTTCTATTGCTATTATGATAAATATTCACTATCCCTTATGGGCACTTACGGGCAAAATATATATCTGAGGGAAATTCCGCAGAAATTGCCATTCTCTCTGTAGGTAATCCAGAGACCCAATGAATACAATGTCCTTCAGCTCCTCCAGGGTATAGTTGCTAGCTCTCAAAGGCATTACAAAATTCCGAAGTCCCATCAGAGTTGAATGAGCATCTCCAAAGACACAGGCTACCACGTGGTTTCGAAATTTATGTTTTCTCTTGTCAGATCGTTTCTAAGTATAAGCATGTCAGGGTCAGATATCTTTTAGAATAAAAATACTAGAGAGTCCTTCAAAGAGCCGCCCTCAACCCAATTTTTCCAGGTTTATCCATACCAATACATTCATAAAGTCAATGAAATTTTGCAAATTTCTTATAAAAATAAAATTTATGCATAAGTGGGATGATCATATCATTTGTGTATGTGTACTTTACTTTTTTCCCCTTGAAAAGTTATCTATCAGACTGATTGCTTCAATTCATATTCAAATAAGTACCATTACTCAGAGTGCAAAATCTTTGGGTCAAATGAGGGACATATCTCTTATGTTCTTATGTTTTTAGTCTTATTATGTTCAATAATGAGATTCAGTGAAAGTTTTAGACATTCTAAATTTCATCACTAAACTGAAGTCTTCTAGTAAGCACTAGTCAGTAAGTTGAAGAAAACATTACATTTTTCAGTGGATTTTTATACATTAGTGTGAATCATATGAAATTGCTGCTTTTGTGGATCAAAAACAGCTGAATGTTGGTCTTGTCATGTGGTTCAACCTAATACCGTGAACTCATTTAATGGACTCTTTCCAATTTCAGGACAGTGAAATGGAAAGTCATAAAAATTTCATCGGATCCCTAGCATTTGACTACATCTCATACTATTATCAATATTATCAATTGTTAACATTTTCTCTATATCTGTAAGTTGAAAACAAAATAATATTGATGACATACATATATTCAGATTAGGTTTCCCCACACTCATAGGTACTCATAAAACCAATAAATGGAAATAAAAAATTATATTCCTGTAAAAATTTATCTTAAGTCTATCTTGGTTTTATTTTAGGGACTGGGCAAACTTGTCCTCTTATGCTATAGGGATACAATAGGACAGTGAATGTGAAATCAAAAGACTTGATTTTATATTTTATTTCTATCAGTGACTGAACAAATTGTGTAACTTCTCTAACTCCCAAATTATTTATATTTGTAAAGGTAAAAGTATGTGTAATAAAAATTTATCTAGTTGTGGAAATTAAGTAACATATAGAAAATGGAATGCTTTTCTAACTTAACAGTTGTTTAATAACTGTTAATAAATCCTGAGTCTTATCAAAGTTCCTGAACTTTCAAAGCAGGACACTTGATAACCAGTAGAGAACAGGGACAATGCATCAAAAATACTAGCCATGTATGAGTGTTTTCTACCTCCTGGGCACACACAGATTTAGATCTCAAGTGGTTCTTTCATTTTTCCTTTGTCAATTTTTTGCTGTGTTAAAAGACACACTTCTAGGAAACAAGTTGAAATCTAACAGGATAGATGGGATCTTGGTGTGGCATTGCAGGATAAGCACTGGACTGCTAACTGCAAGGTTCAACTCACCAACTGTTCCTCAGAAACCCCATTCATGAGTCAGAAATGAATCAGTGGCATTTAACAATAAGGATAACAACAGGATAGATAAGTAACATCTGACATCAAAATAATCACTTTGTAAAATTAGCATATACTGGGAAATACTTTCTTTCCAAGGTGTTTCTTCCTATTAGGGGCAATAAAGCTACTTGTTGGGAGAGCTGTTCTAGGGAGTGATTTGAATCTTAAAACAAATCTATAAAATAATTGTCTCTAGCTAATCTGATAAATTTTAACTTGAATAATAAAGCCTCTAAAGACATTTAATGTAACATGCCTAAAGTCCAACAGTAGCTCTTCTTAGTAGAACTAAACAATTAGAAACAAGATACATAACAAAGAACATTAATGCACACAGCTAAAAGAGCAAATTCTACAGAAAAGTGTGGCACAGAACTATCTCATAATTGAGAAAGATGGTGGCTTTAGGGTAAAGGGAAGATACACTATTAAATCAAAGTAATTTAAATCTACCACTACCACTTGACCCTTCCTCAAACTAAACCAAGTTCAAAGGGTCCCTCAATGTTGCAATCTGGACATTTCTCCCTTAGGGTATTGTTGTTGTTAAGTGCCGGTGGCATAGATTCCTATTCATAGCAACCCTGTATAGGGTTTCTGTTCCAAGTCTGAAAATTCTTAGAATTTCTAAGATTAGAAGACCGTTTAAACTTATCAAAAGATTCTATTGTTGTTTTGAACTACATTCCACATTAAGGATTACGAGGAAAATATTTTACTGCATGCTTAGTAAATGTTGTTGTTGTTACTAAGTTCTGTCGAGCGGTTTCCAACCCATAGCGACCCTGTATAGGGTTTCTAAGGAGCAGCTAGTAAGCTTGAACTGCCAACTTTTCAGTTCAGCGCATTAACCCACAGAACCACGCCAGGACTCCAATAAATATGGATTAATAAAATATTATTTCCATTCTTAGGTCTCTTGGATGCCTCAATCTGCAACCAACTTTCCAACTTTTCCAAAGATTTGCCACCCACTGAAAACATGTCCAGTTTCCTGCTCAACGGATGTTTATTTTGCTTAGTTCAGAATAAGACATAATTGCTAAAATTGTGAGTTTCAGCAACCCTAACAGTCTTTCTGTTGATATGGCAGTTCTGACAATTTCATGCTTCTGATCAAATGATTGATCATGTTTTCAAAAAGTTGGAATGTAGTTTGTCACGACACTGGCACAGAGCCATGAGGAGACTGCCAGTTTGTGTGAGTATAACAGGAAAATGAACTATACTACTTTTGGGAAGTAAAATATATATATATTTCTTAGTCAATTAACTATAGATTAAAACTATATAGGGCACATACAGTATATGAGTAATTGCTTTCTTAGTTAAATCTAGCAGCTAATGCTTGCAAGGTAAATTACTGAGATTATACTTGAGTTTTCAGCACTGGAGAATGGGAATAGATAGGAATCCAAAAAGGAGCTGTTAGAAGCTGGATTAGGATACAAGGGTTTTCTACATCTTAGTTGCATGCTTTTCAGTAGCTGAGTTAGTTTATCTCCTAAAGAAAACAGAGACAGGGACAGAACTGTAATATCTATAAGGATTCACCCAGTTAGAATGAGAGTGAATGTCTAAGAGGCATATTCTTAGTTACTTTGTTAAATACAAGTGCAGTGTGTTAAATATAAATACAGCTACTTTTCAAAAGGAGTCCTGGAATGGCACTGTGGATTAATGCACTAAACTTCTAATTCAGTTTGAACCACAAGGTTGGAGGTTCTAGCTCTCCAGCTGCTCCTTGGAAACCCTATACAGGGTCACTGTGAGTTGGAACCAACTAAATGGCACACAACAACAATAACACCTTTAAGAAAGGAGTTCAGGTGTGACATTGTGAGATAAAGCTCTAGACAGGAAGGTCGGTTTGAACCATGAGGTCAGAGGTTCAAACTTGGAAACCCTATACAGGATCTCTCTGAGTCGGAACTGAATTGACCACACTAAAAACAACAAAAAATAAAAAAAATAAAAAAAAAAATACTGCAAAAGATTCAAACTTTGAAACCAATAAATTAAGGCAGTCCTTATTTACTCTAAAACAGGAAAGTCTACGGAGTTCACGTAAATAGTAGGTTTCCCTGATGTACCTAAATTAATTATATTTACTAGCAAAACTGTGACGTTTTAGAATATTTTTCTGAATAACTGAGCCAGCTAAACTACTAAATAAGGAAAAGGTAGTTGACGGTGTCTACTTGTTTTAAATCCAAGTGTATTACCCACATAGTCCTCATTAAGAGCCACATCTGTTAACTCTGCATTATCATTCATATGGTTGGTGAGATATATGTTTTTCCCTCAAAATTCACAGTTTGCACAAGAAAAATGACATGTGCTTATGACTGAGGCAAGAGTATCTTACATCTAAGAGATGCTTTCTTTTCCTTTAGATATCATGCAAGATCACGTACCAGAATCACCTTGTCCAAAGAGGTTGATTTGCACCAGTGAAACATGCCACTGCTATCTAGTAGCTCACCACTGTGGTCATTATCATACAGACAAATCCTAAATAGGAAGAATGCAAAGTTAGTTGGAGAACATTTAGGGCTCCAGAGTACAAAAGTCAAGTCACAGAACTCATTAGAATCTTAGACCAAAATGAAAGATAACACAAGGAGAATATCTCCAGCCTGTGAGATCCCAGAATCATTATTAGTTTCCAAAGGGCAGCAGGAGTTGAGTGCCCAGACCCTCATAGCTGACAGCATACTAAACACTTGGAAAAACCATAGAAGTCTCTCATTTTACCTTAGATAGCAGTCGTTACGAATCAGGCTGCTAACCTCACAGTCAGCAGTTCGAAACCACCAGCTGTTCCATGGGAAAAAGATGAGGCTTTCTGCTCCCATAAAGATTTACAGCCTCGGAAACCCTGTACAGGGTTGCTATGAATTGGAACCAACTCCACGGCACATAACAACAAGTATATGCCTTGAAGGCAGTTATTTATGCTCTTCCTTTTGCTGCTTTTTACTTGGGGAAACCATGAGAGGTATTTGGGTATTTGCATACAACATTGTAAAAATTTTGAGAGACTGAGACATGGAAGATGTTACCTTCTTTTTTCACCTTTTATTTGATTCTTTTTAAAAATGTGTCCTTGTTGGAACATTTTCACTCATTTATTGTATTTTACATTCTTTCTAGCTTCCGCTACTAGCCTGTATTTGAGTAGAATTTGTCTCAGACCTGACCTAGGCCTTCATTTAGTCACTCCATGCTGCAGTCAGCTCAAGAGCTTGTTCAAATTATGTTCGGTTACTGAAAGGTTTAGATGACTTGAAATAACTCACTTATATGCTATGGAATGCACATTTGTTTTCTAGAGAATACAAGAAACCCTTCCCGAACCACAAAAAGTTTAGGATTAGAAAGCATCTATATAAGTCAGAAGAATCAAGACTTAGGCTGCAGAAACAACCTCAAAATCCCAGTGGTTTAACATAACACAAGTTGTTTTTGACCTGTACTCTTTATTTGACCTATGTGAAAACATGATTCTGCACCACACAGTCACTCTGACAGAATCTCCACCATATTGTGTCCACAACACTTTAAACCTGCATCTTTCTCAGTCATCAAGGCAGGAGGGAAAAAAAAAAAAAAAAGATTGAGATAGGAAAATCATGCATGAGCGTTTAATTGCCTTGCTCTGGTAGCATAATGGTTACAAGTCGGGCTGCTAACTTCCAAGTCAGCAGTTCGAAACTACCAGCCTTTCCACAGGAGAAAGATGAGGCTTTCTGTTCCTGTAAAGATTTACCACCTCGGAAACCCTATACAGGGTCGTTATTACTTAGAACTGACTCCACAGAACACCACTACCACCACCACCACCAAAATGATACACGTTATTTCTCTTCACATTCTATTGGCCAGAACTAGTCTCAGCTCTTGTTAACATCATAGGTCCTATTAGCATACTCTTATTATTAGCTGCCACTAAGAAGATTCCTACTCTTAGTGACTCATGTATAGCAAATTACGACTGTACTTCATAGAGTTTTCATGGCTATAACTTTACAGAAGTACTTCACCAGCCCTATCTTATCATGCACCTCTGGGTAAGTTTCAACTGCAACATTTTAAGCTAGTACTCAACAATTTCCACCACTTGTTTGTCAGTTTTCAGAATGTGGTAACCTGTATGTGGCTGTGATGATGGAAGCTATACTACCTGTATTTTAAATACGAGCAGAGTCACCTATGATTGACAGCTTTAAGTGGAGCTTACATACTAAAACAGACTAGGAAGAAGGTGAGAAGGACCACTTCTGAATGGTTAGTCACTGAAAAACTTATAAATAGCAGCTGAACATTGACAGATATAGTACCTGAAGATAAGTCACTTAGGTTGGAAGACACTCAAAATACAACTGGTGAATAGCTGTCTCCTAGAGTTGGTATTAATGACGTGGATGGAGTTAAGCTTTCAGGACAGTTATTTATCGATACAGCAACACTCAAAATGAGAAGAACCAGTTACAAAAATCCATTAATAATCAGAACATGGAGTATACTAACTGAATGTAGGACAATTGGAAGTTTTCAAAAATGAAATGGAATGCATAGAGATTGATATTCTAGGCATTAGTGAGCTGAAATGCATTAGTATTGGCCATTTTGATTCTGACAATCATATGGTTTACTATGCCAGGAATGGAAAATTGAAAAGGAATGGTGTAGCATTCATCATCAAAAAGAACATTTCAAGATCTTGAAGTACAATGCTGTCTGTGATAGGATAATATCCATATACCTTCAAGGAAGACCAGTTAATACCACTATTATTAAAATTTACACAACAACCACTAACGCCAGTGATGATATACTTCTACCAACTTCTTCAATCTGAAATTGATCAAACATGCAATTACATTGCATTTATAATTATTGATGATTTGAATGCAAAAATTGGAAACAGAGGAATGATCGGTAATTAGAAAATTTGGTCTTGGTGAAAGAAATGATGCTGGAGATAGCATGATAGAGTTTTGCAAGACCAATGATGTATTCATTGCGGTTACCTTTCTTAAATAACATAAAGGGTGACTACACACCTAGTATTGGTCATTTTGAATCTGACAGCCACATGGTTTACTATGCCAGGAATGACAAATTGAAAAGGAATGTGTTGCATTCATCGTCAAAAAGAACATATCCAGATCAGTTATGAGGTACAATGTTGTATGTGATAGGATAATATCCATACACCTACAGGGAAGCCCAGTTAATACCACTATTATTCAAATTTATTCACCAACCACTAAAGCCAGTGAGGATGAAATAGAAGAATTCTACCAGCTTCTTCAACCTGAAATTGATCAAACATGCAATCACAATGTATTGATCATTACTGGTGATTGGAATGCAAAAGTTGGGAGCAAAGAGGAAGCACCAGTAGTTGGAAAATATGGCCTTGGAGATAAAAATTTTACTGGAGAATGCATGATACAATTCTGCAAAACCAATGATTTGTTCATTTCAAATACCTTCTTTAGGCAGCATAACAGATGGCTATACACATGGACCTCGCCAGATGGAATACATAGAAATCAAATCGACTACATCTGTGGAAAGAGAAGATGGAAAAGTTCCATATCATCAGTGAAAACAAGGCTAGGGGCAGACTGTGGAACAGATCAACAATTGCACATTTAATGTATCTCACCTGAATTTACAGATCATCTGAAGAACAGAATTGATACATTAAAAGACCGAAGACCAGAAGATCTGTGGGATGACATCAAGAACATCATACGTGAAGAGAGCAAAAAGTCATTAAGAACACAGGAAAGAAGGAAAAGATCAAAATGGATGTCAGAAGAGACTCTGAAACTTGCTCTCCAGTGTAGATATGCTAAAGTAAATGGAAGAAATGAGGAGGTCCAAGAGCTGAACAGAAAATTTCAAAGATCAGCTCGAGAAGATAAAGCCAAATATTATAATAAAATGTGCAAAGATCTGGAATCAGAAAAGCAAAAAGGAAGGACACACTCAGCATTTCTCAAGCTGGGGCAACTGAAGAAAAAATTCAAGCCTCAACTTTCGTTATTGAAAGATTCTCTGGGCAAATTATTGAATGATGCAGAAAGCATCAAGAGAAGATCGAAAGAATACACAGAGTCACTGTACCAAAAGGAAATGGTTAATATTCAACCATTTCAAGAGGTAGCATATGATCAAGAGTCAATGAGCCTGAAGAGGAAGTCCAAGGTGCATTGAAAGAATTGGCAAAGAACAAGGCACCAGTAATTGATGGAATAAAAATTGAAATCTTTCAACAAAGTGAGGCGGCACAGGAGGTACTCACTCATTTTTGCCCAGAAATTTGGAAGACAACTATCTGGCTGACTGATTGGAAGAGATCCATATTTGTGCCCATTCCAAAGAGAGGTGACCCAATGGAATGCGGAAATCATTGGACAATCTCTTTGATATCTCAAGCAAGTAAAGCTTTGTTAAAGGTAATACAGAAACAGCTACAATCATACATTGACAGAGAACTTCCAGAGGTTCAAGTCGGATTCATAGGAGGTCGTGGAATGAGAGATATCATTGCTGATGTCCGATGGATCTTGGCTGAAATCAGATAACATCAGAAAGATGTTTACCTGTGCTTTATTGACTATGCTAAGACTTTCGATTGTGTGGATCATGACAAGCTATGGACAACATTGTGACGTATGAGTATTCCAGAACACTTGATTGTACTCATGAGGAATCCGTACCTGGACCAAGAGGCAGTTGTTCGAACAGAACTTGTGAACACTGAGTGTTTTAAAATTAAGAAAGGTGTGTGACAACTTTGCATTCTTTCACCATACTTATTCAACCTGTATGCTGAGCAAATAATACGAGAAGCTGGGTTCTATGAAGAAATACGTGGCATCGGGATTGGAGGAAGACTTGTTAATAACCTGCGATATGCAGATGATACTACCTTGTTTCCTGAAAGTGAAGAGGACTTAAAACATTTACTGATGTTTATGGTATGGATTACATCTCAATGTCAAGAAAACTAAAATCCTCGCCACTGGACTAATAAACAACACTAATAAACAACATTCTTATTAACGGAGAAAAGTTTGACGTTGTCAAGGACTTCATTCTTATTGGATCAACTATCAACACTCGCAGAAGCAGAAGTCAAGAGATCAGACGACGTATTGCATTAGGCAAAGCTGCTCCACAGGAACTTTTTAAAGTGTTGAAGAGCAAAGATATCAGCTTGAGGACTAAGGTGCGCCTGACCCAAGCCATGGTATATTCAATAACCTCATATGCATGCAAAATCTGGACAGTGAATAAGGAAGACTGTAGAATAATGATGCCTTTGAATTATAGTGTTGGCGGAGAATACTAAAAGTGCCATGGCTGCCAAAAGAACCAATAGATCTGTTTTGGAAGAAGTGCAGCCAGAGAGCTGCTTAGAGGCCAAGATGGCCAACTTCGTCTCTCATACTTTGGACATATTGTCAGGAGGGACCAGTCTCTTGAGAAGGATATCATGTTGGGTAAGATGGAGGGTCAGAGAAAAAGAGGAAGACCCCCAACGAGATTGATTGGCCAAGTGGCAGCATCGATGGACTCAAGTGTGGCAACAGTAGTGAGGTTGGCCCAGAATCTGACATTGTTTTGTTCTGCTGTGCATAAGATTGCTATGAGTCTATGGCAACTAAATGGCACCTAACAACAACAATACACAGGAATAAAATTTACGACATCTTTGGGAAGTGGTGATGTAGAAGCTCAGTCTAATCAGACAAAACATGGCTAGGGGCAGAATGTGGAACAGATCAACAATTGCTCATATGTAAGTTTAGACTGAAGCTGAAGAAAATTCAGATAAGTCCATGAGAGCCACAATATGGCCTTGAGTATATCCTGCTGAATTTAGAGATCATCTCATGAACCGATTTGATTCATTAGACATTAATGACTTAAGAACAGAAGAGTATAGGTGACATCAAGAACACCATACAGGAAGAATGCAAAAAGTTATTAAAAAGACAAGACAAAAAGAGAAGACTAAAGTGGATGTCGGAAGAAACTCTGTACCTTGTTTTTGAGCATAGAGAAGCTGAAGCTACTGGAAGAAATGATAACGTGAAAGAGCTGAAGAGAAAATTTCAAAGGTCAGCTAGAGGAGACAAAGTCAAGTATTATAACAATGAAATGTGAAAACATCTGAAGTTAGGAAACCAAAAGGGAAGAATATGCTCAGTATTTCTCAAACCAAAATAATTGAAGAAAAAAATTCAAGCCTTGGGTTGAAATATTGACATATTCTCTAGACAAAATATTGAATAACATTAGAAACATCAAAAGACAATGGAAGGAACACACAGAGTCACTATACCAAAAATAATTGGTCCATGTTTAACCATTTTAAGAGGTACCATATGATCAAGAACCAGTGGTCTTAAAGGAAGAAGCCCAAGTATTATTGAAGGCACTGGTGAAAAATAAGGCTCCAGGAACTGACCAAACGCAAATTGAAATGTTTCAATAAACTCATGCAGCACTGGAGTCACTCACTTCTCTATGTAAAGGAATTTGGAAGAAACCTGCCTGGCCAATGGATTGTAGACATCAGTGTATGTGCACATCCCAGAGAAAGGTGATCCAACAGAATGCAACAATGGATTCAAATATAACAACTATTGTAAGGATGGTGCAGGACCGGGTAGTGTTTCATTCTGCTGTACATAGGGTCATTACAAGTCAGAAATGACTCCACCCAACCACAAAAAATGTCAATCAGTTAAACATTTGCACCACCCAAGGACACGCTAGGCAGCACTGAGTAGTATCATTAATATCACATGTAAGTAAAATTCTGATAAAGATAATTTTTAAATTATTGCAGTAGTTCATCAACAGGGAACTGCCAGAAATTCAAGTCAGATTCAGTAGAGGACATGGAACAAGGGATATCATTGCTGAAATAAAATTTATCTTGGATGAAAGCAGATGCTATCAGAAAAATGTTTACTTGTGTGTTATTAATATGCAAAGGCATTTGACTATGAGGATCATAACAAACTAAGGACATTGGAAAGGATGAATATTTCAGAACACTTAGACCAAAGGAGAGTCATTCCAACAGAACGAGGAGTTACTGAATGGTTTCAAATCAGAAAAATTTGGTGTCAGGGTTGTATCCTTTCAACATACTTATTTAATCTGTATACTGAGCAAATTATCCAAGAAACTGGATTATACTAAGAATTCAGCATCGGGATTGGAGTAAATCTCATTAACAATCTGCAATATGCAGATGACACACTCTTGGTTACTGAAAGTTAAGATGTGAAATATTGACAAGGATCTAAGACTACAGTCTTCAGTATCAATTGCACCTCATTGTAAAGAAAACTAAAATTTTCATAACTGGATCAATAGATAACATCAGACAAAAACTTACTTTAACTTAGTTTGAAGTGTTAGACCTAAAAAAAAAAAAAAAAAAAAGAATCGACAGAAGAATTGGGCAAAGAAGCAGGAGTTGGGCGTTGTGGTGCTAGAGAGTGTTTAGAAAAGCAGAAAGATTTTAATGATATTGAACAAGATCTTGGTGCAATTCTTTATTTCTCCCTCTACTTAAGACTTATCTAGAAACTTTAGTCGCGTCTAGTTATTCACCAAGCCAAAGAATGTTATAATGTAAGCCTCAACATTAGTTTGGCTAAAATGGACTATTTTTTCCACTCAAACTAATATACCTTTTTGCGGTTTAAAATATCCACAAGTTATAAGCCCCAACAGAACTCTAAAACTCCATAGGTGCTCTCTCTCATTTTTTTTTTCCTTTCTTTCTTTTTATTGTGAATTGAGTGATAGTTTACATGGGAGAGCATCAGCTTTACATTCATCCTATCATATTTCATTTCATTGCAATGATTACAATTCCCTCCATGCATCATCATTCAACAGAATTTGCTCCCATTCCCTCTGTTGTTGTTTTTTATTTGTTTGTTGTTGTTGTTATTGTACACCAAAGTACTCAGGTTTACATAACCATTCAAACAACCAAAGAGTATAGCCTGCAAGTCTGCCCCCTCGGCTTCCAGCTCACAGCCCTCTCCCTCCTTGAGTCCAGAGTCCCCAGCTGCTCCATGTCTCCACCTCATCATCTCTGCCTCCTTCTTGGGCATACTGCTTCTCTGGATAGGGTCCAGCACTCTGCTCATCTCCCTTGATGATCCCAGAGCCCTCTGCTCCTGGACTGCAAGATCAACCACTCCCCTCCTTTTGTTACAAAATGTCTACCTTTACATTTGCAACATTCACAATCAGTCCTGATAGCAATTATTTACTATTGAACCACAAGAGTCTTATCCCCATCTCCTTTCACCAGCCTGGTCTAGACAGGTTGGAAACCACACAGTGGTGATTCTACCTTCCCACACTCTGACACTAGACTCTCTCTTGAAAGCTTGTAAGCTAGTCACTTCACTCCTTTGTAGCCTCCCCATTTTGGGTAGCCAATGTCTAAGTTACCCATCCCTGTCAACCCTGTGTACCAAGGGGGTGAGAATGACCCTTACTGTAAAGATTTGTTCCCTCTTTTAAGCTACTACAGCCATAAGTATATGTCAAGTTCATCAAATTGGAGTGGATTACACTTTTCTCCTTTTCTTTTTTCCTCTAGTCAAGTTCTTGTCATCCAGCCATTAAAGCTAGGTCAAAAGGGTGTTCTTGTGCATCTGCCCTCACTTCATATCAGCTGGATGTTTCACTCTCTGTTCTAGTCTTCTGTGGCTATGTCCCTGTCGTGGGTTCATGAGTCCCCAGGTCTCACCATATTGCTAGCCAAGCAGGTCTCAATCCAGCTTGACAGGGGTCTATTGAACATGGTCAGACTTAGCTCACAGCTTCATTTCTGTTTTTCCCCCACTTACCCTTATTGGTAGACCAATGTGGTCACCAGCAAAATTATATGCCTGCTTGTGTATCCCCTTTGAGTTTCACTCTTGGAAGGGGGGTTGCCCTGAGGGGACTTGATTGCTTGCCTTGATGACTACCAAAAGAACAATTTGCTTGTTCTTATAGTAGTCAATCAGACTGCCCCATTATATTTTAATTGTTCCTGCTTGTTTTTCTTTCAAGAAGTGTCTTCTGTTCTTCTAGCTGCTTCAGGCTGCTCTGCTTGTCTTTTCAAGTGGAAATGTCCCACCTCAGAAGATTCTGGATGGGGATCTGGATTCCACCTATGGTCCTATGCAATGCAAAGTCTCCACAGGAAGCCTATCTCACTGGGCAAGTTCTAGCCCCATTTTAGGTATTCCAATCAATTATAGGCTGAAGATAGGCTTATGGTGATGTTTCTGGCTATTCCTTTCTCTCCCCTCAAGTGTCCATTTTACAATAATAGGCAAGGGAAACCAAGATTCAAAAGACAGTCAAACATCTTAACATTATTTCCTCTTTTTTATCCATTCAAACCACGTCTCAATCCCTGTATCCCAGAGTCCTGTTGTTCCAAGGTTGAGCATATTTACCTCTGTCCCACTTAGTCCAAGACTCTCTTAATGGACTAGGTAGGACCATAGTGATGACTTTTGGACAATCTTGCTATAGCACCTCTCCAGGGAAAACACCTAAGACCTTAGTCTAGATTTAGCCAAATTTTAAGAATTTATTATATTATTTTTTTCCTTTAGTGATTAGCTTCCTAGACTTTATTCCTCAGAATTCTCAAAACATATGCTGATATAGTGCATCCAAGTTGGTGGTGACTGCCTTTCATGAGTACTTCCATGGAAAACAATTTGGAATAGTCATCTTCCTAGAAAGAGGTGGATTCTTGCCCTCTGACCTCAGTACTCAAGTCTAGAGCTACTACTGCTAGTTTTTTTCTGTGTCATTTTCTTCAGCATTTCCCCACTTTCCCCTCTTCTCTTCCACTTCAATGATGAATGAAGAGACTTTGGTCTGGTGATTAAATGCTCTTTTGGCAAACAATATGATCTTCTCACCAAGCACATTTTAACTTGACTCAGAATAGCAGATCAATCACTGTACACTTTTCTATCGTAATAAAAGCATGATCTATGTACACAAGCTGTCATAGACAAGATCTTTCTTCATTCTGATATTATGGAAAACAGATATGCCTTAGAGGAAACACCTGTTGGAGACATGCATAAAAGAAAAGGCTGAAGTAGACCCACTTCATCATAAAGGCATCCATCTGGTGTCCTTGCCAAAGAAAAACCTAATGCAATTTAGATCATCATCCCTTAACTACAGCTCCTTTCTACCATATGCTTTGCAAATGACATGATCCTTGCAGAAATATACCTTCCTAAAGAGACTAATAAATCATCTATAAGAATGCTTAGCACTAACATTCTTAGAAGTTGAAGCCAAAGAATTAGAACATAAAGGCTGATGCAATTGTAGAAAAAGGGAATCAAAGGGTGCCATCCAGGTCACTCAGGGCAAAGAGAAAATGCACATCTTGCAGACAGGTGGACACCTCTTCGATGAAGGGCTTTGTGTGGGGGTTAGTGGGGCAAGATTGTGTTGGTGGTTATCTGAGCATGTTTGGAATGAAGGTGAAATTGGTTTATTGAGTCATAAGATATGCTTATATTCAAAACAATGATATGGCACTCAGTCTAGGAGGATGCAGGGAGGTATTGAACTTGGGAATGCCTTTAGCGAGGTCTTTCCATCTTCTTTCCACCTTTGGAAGTTGACAAGTAGAGTATGTTGGGTGAGAACAGTTTTGCAATGAGTCCAATTCTATAGCGATTCATCTGAATAAAGATTCAAGTTTTGTTTTCTAATGCCTTTCTTCTGTTACTGCTTTGATATGTATGAATTCAATGTCTTGTGAGTACATGCTTGAAGTGCCCCAACTAGAGAAGGTAAGCTCTTTCCTCTCTGCTTTCTGGAATTTTTCTGAAGAGAACTTGTATTCTCCCATGTTTATAGCACTTTACCCTATGTGAACCGTACTTTTTAAGGGAAAATATATAAAGAACATTGTGTTTGCCAATGGTGGCACCTAACTAAAGAGCGATTAATACAAGTAGAAAAACCTCAGCTAAGAAAGCGTGGTAACCAACTCAGCATGGATTAAAGACCTAAATGTGAATTCCAAAATTATGAAAGTCATCAATGAAAAAAGAGGGACAAATGTGAGGACACTAATTCAGGGAATACACAGACTACCAAACATTTTTAAAACTATACAAACAAAAGCAAACAAAATATACGATTGGGACATACTAAAAATGAAAAACTTATGTGCATCAAAAGACTTCACCAGAATAGTAAAAGGGGAACCCAGAGAATGGGAAAAAATATTTTGCAATGACACATCAGACAAGGGACTTATTTCTAAAATATATAGGAAACTGCAACACCTCTACAAGAAAAAGACAAATAACCAAATTAAAAATAATGGGCACAGGACATGAACAGACACTTCACCAAGGAGGAGATCCAGGCAGCAAACAAACATATGAAAAAATGTTCACGATCATTAGCCATTAGAGAGATGCAAATCAAAATAACAATGAGATATCATCTCACACCAACAATAACAGCAAAGATTAAAAAAGTAGAGGACAATAAATGCTGATGGGGATGGGGAGGGACTGGGATGCAAAAAAAAAAAAAAAAAAAACATGGTAAGTTTCATAATGTTAGGTCAGGAAGCCTGGTGCCCAAGAATATAAGTCTATCACCATTTTTTTCCTTCAATTTATAAACTTGATTCAGATTATTCTTAAAGATGATCTGCCAATGAATGAGATACTCTACTACTATTCACAATACATCTTATAAAGTTTTAAAACACCTACATTTAGTTTTTTTCATTTCCAGGGTTCTTGTTTGAGAGATGTTACAAAATCCTGATCTTGTGCCCATTCCATCTGGAACCTCTTTGAAAGTCCATAGAAAGCTTCTAAAGTCTTACTAGAGAGAACTTTCAGATCTCAATGCAGAACAATACATATTTTGCTCAAGAGTTAAGTTAAACAAAAGTAACACATTTCATAATATCTTAGTAAAGGGAAGACAAGTCCCCTAGCAGAGTTTTGGGAACTCTGTGTGTCCAGGATTGTCAAAATTCACTACATCTGTCTTTTGAAGGTACTGCTCAAGTTCCACCAAAAATGGAGGCAAACTTCTCTTGTCTCAGGATCTCTTTGGTCTGTTGACCCTTTAATATCATGAAGGCTACAACTGCTTTCTCTCCTGTGACTCTGTATATCATAACAAAGTTATTCAATTCATACATGACTTGGAATTAATTGTTTATTTTTTATTATTTGTTTTTTGGTCAGTACTGACTATCACTTTGTGTGTTCTGTAAAAGGGAAAAACTATTTCAAATTTTGGAATGTGGGGACATTCAATCCTACTTGACAATTTTGTTCTCTCTCCATCTTGCACACACATATGTATACATACATACATAAACACATACTACAGCCAAATTTTAGACTATGAACCTGATCTCTACGACCACATTATGGTCTCACTATCTGGGTTACCCCTGGTTGTCATTTATTCATTACAGGGCATAATTATTATTTTACCTTTGAGAGATATGTATGGTTTAAAAAACTGTATAATTTTTTCCAGTTTACTCTCCACCAGGAGTCCTGGTGTGGCACTGTGGGTTAATGTGCCAGGCTGCAAAGCTGTTTGAACTGCCAAGGTTAGCAGTTCAAGCTCACCAGCTGCTCCTCAGAAATCCTATATAGGGTCACTATGGATCAGTATTGACTCGACAACAACAGCTCTCCACCAGGAACCTGAGCATGAGAAAGCTGAAAAGGACTCCCACAAGTTTTGGAAAATTTGCAGGACTAAGTAACTAGTGGAAGAATCTGAGAAAGGTAGAGAAGACAATTCACATTCCTGTTACAAAGATCTCTTCCATTCCTCTTTTTCATGAGAAAGGGAAAGTCTGTACCAAGCTCTGTGTCTTCCCTCCAGCTTGACCAGATATCCTGGCTGCTGACCTTTTACTGGGTAACATGGCAGAAAACCTCCATGAAATCTCACTCGATGTCGCATATATCAACAACAACTTGGCTATCTCCAGAACTCATGCTCTCATGTCCCTCACATGGAAAATCGTGAGGAAGGAAAACTAGTTAAAATGACCATCTCCTCTGGTATGTCTGCGAGTGGGGTTCCTGAGCACATTAGACTTTCTGTGTTAAGGTAGGCCATTCTCCTGCCAGAATGTCAGAATGTAAATGCTGCTCTTTGCTCATTTTTAAAGTACCTAAGGGAGGGGGAAGGGGAAAAGTACGAATAAACACTTGCAACACTACGCCTAGAAAACATAGCATACTTCCATACTTTGCCCAGGAAACTTCCCTCACCTCTATGTTTTTAGATGAGTTTTGCTGATGTTTAATTGAAGAAAGGATAGCTGAGTAGTATTAATCCTGCATGTTGTAAAACAACCCGTTTCTAAAACAGTTACATGACCAATGTTCTTCTGTTGTCTGTTCTTTCCTGATCTTTTGCATATAGACAGTCTTCAGAAACTTATTGTGGAATTATAA